TTGGGCTGTACTAGAATTCCCTGAAAAGGGACGCGGGTGGCGCTGTGGGTAAAAGCCTCAGCGCCTAGGGCTTGCCGATCGAAAGGTCAGCGGTTCGAATCCCCGCGGCGGGGTGCGTTCCCGTTGCTCGGTCCCAGCGCCTGCCAACCTAGCAGTTCGAAAGCACCCCCAGGTGCAAGTAGATAAATAGGGACTGCTTACTGGCGGGAAGGTAAACGGCGTTTCCGTGTGCTGCGCTGGCTCGCCAGATGCAGCTTTGTCACACTGGCCACGTGACCCGGAAGTGTCTCCGGACAGCGCTGGCCCCTGGCCTCTTAAGTGAGATGGGCGCACAACCCCAGAGTCTGTCAAGACTGGCCCGTACGGGCAGGGGTACCTTTACCTTTACCTTAGAATTCCCTGAAACAGCCTGAGCTACCACTGCTAACAAGTGCAGGTGAATCCAAGAAGCATAACCACCTTGCTCCAAAGGCAGTCCTGTTCTTGAGCTCCAGCTGACTGGGGAAAGGGGGGTACAATGGCAGGAGGGGATATTATCCAGCCATTCCTCTGGGTCATACATTGATCTGATCAAAAAGGTTGCTCGTTTCTTTTGTTAGACAGATTATTCTTAAGAACCCAGAATGACTGGTTGATGGGAGCTAATGGCTACTTGTAAAACTTTCTGCATATGAATGAGAAACCCATCAGAGCTTGAGGTAAGGTATTGTGTTTGTGTGTAGTGCAGTTTGCAAGAGAGGGAGAGCAGGTGGATGAAGGGGTACAGTTCCTGCACAGCATGTAGGAAAGCATGTGATTTATGCTCTGCTTGTATATTTTTTTAGAAAGCAAATGTTGCCTAAATGGCTTAAGCATTCTATCTAGTCTTCTCCCATCCAACTCAACCTGTTAGCGCCAAGAACTCACTGCTAGAGAGAATAGCGAGTGTGTATCCATCAACACCATTCCACTTTTAATGAAGGAAAAGCCTGACCTGCAGGTAAAAAAAATTCTACAGAAAGTTAGATAATATTGCCCATTAGAAAATTGATTTTTTAATATATATATCCATATGACAAGCATTTCCATATTAATGCAGCATATTGTTTGATTTTTAACACAATATGGGATATCTTAAAATTCCACCAAAAAGAAGGTCTTATGCTCTTGTCTTTTCTCCAGCTAATATCTAGTCCTGCTTTCTGTTTTTCCTTTCATTCAAGCAGTGGTTCCCAAATTTAAAGCACGGCATTTCAGGACCCTGCCAGATTGTCTAAGTTTTCTTAAATTCTCATTTCCTCTGGGCACTTGCTCCTTGCTTATAGTTACACTAAGCGGCGGAGGGGGAGGGGGGAGGGAGGGAGAAGATTTCCAGATTGAAATTTCCAGTCTGTAATCTTCATTTTTAATATTGTTTTATTCTCATGTTTCTGCGAGCTGCACATGTACCCTGCTTGGGCTTGAAAATGTCAATTCACTTCAAAGCCTGATCCGTATTGGTCTCGTCTTCTGAAAACTTCCCTCGCTGTGCAGAGGCTTACATTTCTCTTTGTTGGTTTTTGCTGTTTATTTTGGTATTACGTGTTCCGTGGGCTTCCTAGGGTGCACCTCCTGCTCCAAAACTCCTCCATCTGTTGTTTGCAACATTCTCTTTCTCCACAGAGTTCCTTCACTTCCCGTAGTGGGGTTTGCCTGTTGTCAAGAATGGGATGAATCCAGACTGTTAGTTGCACTTAGTTCCCATAGACATCAGCAAGATCAACTTCCTGAGAAATGTGTCCAATTGAGTAGCGGTTACAACAAACACTAGATTTCTTCTTCTAATAATAATTTTTTATTTATACCCTGCACTTCCCAGTTCAGGAAACCGGGCTCAGGGCGGCTAACAACAAATTTAAAACACATAATTGATGCTACAAAAAAACAGCATAAAATACGGTATAAAGCGTAAATAACAATAAAATCAAGAATCAAAAATCAATTTAGGGGGGAAATCCATCCAATAAACATTAGATGATCACCAGGGCTAGCTGGCTAAATTAGTCCCACTTGGGCCAGTGAGGAGACCAGGGGAGAATTAGCTGTGGGATCCCAGAGTGGGTAATCTTCACAAAAAGGGGAGGGGGAGGGAAGGAAGGGGAACAAAAGATCAGGCCAGGTTCAAATTGAAAGCCAGGCGGAATAGTTCTGTCTTACAGGCCCTGCGGAAGGAAGTTAAATCCTGCAGGGCCCTGGTCTCGTGGGACAGAGCATTCCACCAGGTCGGAGCCATCACTGAGAAGACCCTGGCCCTGGTGGAGGATAATCTAACTTCCTTAGGGGCCAGGACCTCTAAGCTATGATTATTCATCGACCTTAAGGTCCTCTGCGGGGCAAATGGTTCCCCATTTTTAAATACAATATATTCCCACAGAGACTCCTTACACCGTGTTTAAAACCAAAATCGCATTTGGGTAGAAACTGTTTCTCAGGTGGCTAGTCCTAGTCTTTATAACCCTGTTCCTTCTTCCAGTACTCCTGTACCTTCTTCTTCTAGGGACGCGGATGGCGCTGTGGGTAAAACCTCAGTGCCTAGGACTTGCTGATTGTAAGGTCGGCGGTTCGAATCCCCACAGCGGGGTGAGCTCCCGTCGTTCGGTCCCAGCTCCTGCCCACCTAGCAGTTCGAAAGCACATCAAAGTGCAAGTAGATAAATAGGTACCACTTTATAGTGGGAAGGTAAACAGTGTTTCCATGTGCGGCACTGGTGCTGGCTCACCAGTGCAGCTTTGTCACGCTGGCCACGTGACCCGGAAGTGTCTTCGGACGGCGCCAGCTCCCAGCCTCTTAAGTGAGATGAGCGCACAACCCTAGAGTCGGTCACGACTGGCCCGTACGGGCAGGGGTACCTTTACCTTTACCTTCTTCCAGAAGGCAGAAGCTGAAAGAGATCATTTCTGGGGTGTGCACTATCTTGCACTATCTCTGCAGCTTTCCTATGGCACCTGGAAGCATAGATTTGATCCAAGGTAGGAAGAGTGCACCCAATTATTCTCTCCACAGTCTTTACAACCCTGGACAGCATTGTTTTTCCCTTGACCGTGCAGCTCCCAAACCACACACACAGACCATAAGTTAATACACTCTCCACAGTACAATGGTAAAATGCCATCAACAGGTCCTTTGAGAGATTGTTTTTCCGGACGATTCTCAGAAAATATAACCTCTGCTGTGCTCTCTTCATCAGGTCTTTGCTGTTTTCTCCCCAGGTTAGGTCATCTCTCAACTCCATTCCCAGAAAACAAAACACCGAGACCTGTTCCACGCACTTCCCCTCAATATTAAGTGGCTGAATATTCAATTTACATTTCCTAAAGTCCACAATAATCTCTTTTGTTTTCTTTAAGTTAAGGAGTAAGTTGTTTTTCCTGCACCACTCCACCAACTGCTCAACTTCCTTCCTATAGGCCGCCTCCCCCTCTCCAGCTGTGATTAAACCAACCACCGTTGTATCATCTGCAAACTTAATGATCTTATTACTGGGGTATTTGGGGGCACAGTCAGCTGTATAGAGCGTATATAAAAGCAGGCTCAACACGCACCCCTGCGGCGTCCCTGTATTCATGATGAGATCCGCAGAGACATGGGAACCCATCCTGACCCGTTGGGAACGGTTTGATAGAAAATCTAATATCCACCTGGAGAAACACGGTGGAAGTCCCAGGTCTAATAGTTTGGGCACCAATCTATGTGGAAGAATAGTATTAAATGCAGAACTAAAGTCTACAAATAGTCTCGCATAGTTCCCTTGCTTCTCCAAATGAGGCAGAACAGCATGTAAAGCCATTGTCACAGCATCCTCCGTGGATCTCTTTGCCTTGTATGCAAATTGGTAAGGGTCAAGTCCCACTGGCAGACAAGACATGATGCGGTTCCTCACCAGTTTTTCGAAACATTTCATTATAATGGGTGTCAACGCCACAGGGTGAAAATCATTCAGACTGTCTATCTTTGGGTTTTTTTGGCAGGGGTATAATGGTAGCAGATTTCAGACAGGGTGGAACAGTGGCTTGGGCCAGAGACTGGTTAAAAATCTTCATAAAGATTCCTGCCAGTCCCTTTGCCAGGCCACCAGTGTCCACTGTCTTGCTGGTATTGTTTCCCTCAACCCTCTGAAGCCTCAAACTCCCCTTCCATTATTGCCATTGCCCTAATTCTTGCTATCAGATTCAAGATTCTGCAGGACCTCAAGTCTAGCAAGCAGAACAGATGCATGCAGTATTTGGCTGTATTGTGCTCATTCTGAAAAAGAATCAAACCCCATCGCCAAATCACCCTGAATAGAGAGTTGATGTTCTTTTCCTCCCACATGCAGTTCTGTCCCAGCTTCATAGTGCACTTGAAAAAGCTGATCCCATGAGAACCTATGAGAGTCCATTGAGAAGGGGAGTCTTCACAGGCTGTTGACAGGAGTGAAAGGCTTCTTGGTAACAACGCTGAAGAGGAGCCCTCTTAATCTCCTAGCTCTTAATAGAGATAGACAGTTTCCATGAGGCTCAAGGTTTTTGAGGGGGAGAAGAAGAGGCTTCTTATGCAGTTCATGGGAGCTTGGCCTCAGCAAGGTTTCTTCATACTCTCCGGACAGAGTCTTGGCAGATTTTCAGGGAATGGAAAACACACGGAAGGTTCAGCGAAAGCAGAACATAGGAAAATGGATTGCGGTGCAGCGAGTACATTAAAATAAAGCAATAGTAATAAATTTTGCAATGTTTGCTTCTTCCTGTTATGGGCCCACAATTTCAGCATGTTACTCGCCACCATTCCATGCCTGCTTGGCAACCCCATGGATACATTGGGTGACGTAAGGCTGCAAGCCTAAACACACTTCTTATCAGTTCCCTATTAAACATATGGGCTTCTGATTCGTGAGTCATTTTTTTCTCTAATAAAGTTGCATCCCACTCTTACCTGAGTGTATGTACCCTCTCTTTGAGGATCCAGAGCTCTTTCAAACCTCACCATCCCTTTTTTCTTACCAACAGCTGAACAAGTGCTGAGGATACGGGGAGGAAAACGGACCTTAATCTTCACAGACAGCAGTGGAAAATGCAGATCCTTCATGCAAATCTGAAACGCATCCAAAATAAACATATATGATCTGGAATAATTATGGCTGTACATCTCAAAGTTTATATGTGAACTGGTGCCAAAAGCTGATCCTTTACAACTGTGAAATACATACCCTGATGAACCGATAAGTGAGGTGTAAGGGTATCTGCTTGTACACTAGGCAAGAAGACTCCAGCAGAAATAAAGGGGCTATAAGCACAAAGGTCTCCATGCCTGACGAATATTCACATTTACTGTGGTACCATTTGGCTGTGGTTGTACCAAAACCTCTCTTCTATTGTAGCTGCAACATTCTTTTTCTTGTTCTCACTCCAAATGCATATTCAGGATTATATATACCCTGTGCTGAAATAATGTAAACTTCTGAGTCAAGGAAAGCTTCTCCACTATTAATTTTTCCAAACTGAAATGCACTTTTTGGGTGGGTGGGCTCATATTGCTTTTTCATAGTATAAGGAATAAAGTTATTTTCCACAAGAAAATGCAATTCTGATTTCACTAGCCATTTGATCATAAGTATCTGGTGGATAAGTGTCTCTGCTACTGCTATCTTCCAAGGCTTCCTGTATCAACAACTGATGGAGAACTCTTCTGGGATCAGCGTTATAATTTGCAGTTATTGGTATCTGCAGTAAGGGACTGGAAATGGGTCTTCTGTTGTCTTTGAAGAGTAAAAAAAGTATAATGAGGTTATTTTGTGACTGAACTGCTTGCCATCGATAGTTCTGTATTGTAAACATTCTTAATTTTTGTAAAAACAAAAACAAAACAAAAAACCCCACAAGACGACAGAAGGTGATTCCAGATGGGCGTTTATTGTCAGACTAGTTCTTCTCATGTATACAAGATTTTTGCAGTGTCTGTGCATCATCGTTAAATGCCAGATTATTTCCCCCCCTTTATATAATCTGAATTTACCCTTTCTGGGCAAAAACGGTTAAGTTAAAAAAAGTGTTGCCAGACAACAGCACTCTTCCACACTAGGGGTTGTAGTTCATATTAGTCATGTCCGTTCATGAGTTACTAGCTTGGGCCCATCAATTTCAATGGCTTATTGTGTGTTAAACTTAATTGGATAAAAACCTAGGTGTTTAGAATGGAATTGCCACACATAGTCTACATATTAATTTTTTACAGGGCATCAGTACACCACCATTATTCAATCATTCCTGTCTTGTATTTTCCCTGTGATCCTTCTGTCCCCCCCATCAAACCACAGAAAATCTGACATTTCTCAGAAGAAAAAGAGACCAATAGTCTTCACAGATTGCATATTCCTTTAGCGCTGATCTTCTGTCTTTTTAAAGGGGAGGGGTTTCAAAGCGGGCTGTAATGTACCAGGCAAGCATAGCACAACGTCAGTGGGCACCAAGCAGAATGTCAGCAGACTGATTTTCTCCTACTCTCTTAACATTAAAACTTGGGGACATCCAATGAAGCTGAATGTTGGAAGATTCTGGAGAGATAAAAGAAAGTACTTCTCCACACAGGGAATAAACTGTGGAATTTGCTCCTACAGGATAGGGTTGCAATACGTCCGGAATTTCCCAGACACAGCCAGGATTCGGCTACCGCAAACACTGACCAGGCGGCAATCACCGTAATGTCTGGGGAAATCCAGACGTATGTCGGAAGTGTAGATTTTGGCAAATTTCCTTTAAAAAAGCCCCAAAACTTCAAAAAAATAGATTTTGCAAAAAAACACAAAACTTTATCAACAACTTTTGTGTCCGGATTTTCACTTTTTGAAATATGGCAACCCTACTAGAAGAGGCAGTGATGGCCGCCAACCTGGATGCCTTTGAAAGAGGAATAGAAAAATTCAAGGAGGACAAGGCTGTCAATGGCTACTAGCCCAGATGTCTATGTCCAACTTCCACTGTTTGAGACAGTGTGCTTCTGAATACCAGTTGCTGGAAACTGCAAGAGAGGAGAGTGTGCTATTGCACCCAGGTCCTGCTCACAGGCTTCCTATAGGCATCCGATTGACCACAGTGAGAACAAAGTGTTGGAGAAAATGGGCCACTGGTCTCATGCAGTAGACTCTCTTAACATTTTTATGTCAAAAGGGCACAGGGAAAGAGCTTGTGGGATCCAGCGTGTCATAAGCAACACATTTTCTTGAACATTGTGAGTTTAATCAAAGTCCTCCAAGAGTAATTCTGAGAGGACAAAGCGGGTGTTTCATCCAGCGTTGTCTCTGGGATTGTGAAACAGCGAAGAGAAACTAGATTTCTGCAAAGGAAGGGGAAACTGATGCATAAAATACACAGTTTAAATTAATAATCAAGCTACATAAATGCATGTGCCCCTCCATGATCTCTGGTAGGCGTACAGGAAAATGCTGAACCTGCAATATAGCTGCTTAATCAGTACCTGGCAAGGTGAAGAAGGGCTGCGCGGTGCCAGGGAATTAAACGGCTGCCAGCACAGGAAACAAGGCCCTTGAAATCAAGCCCACATCTCAGAACTTGTGTTATGATTAGCAAAGGACGCTTCATGTATTACACATGCAGCGTCACAGGCACTACCAAAACACGGGATTCACGTACAGATGTTTGGGCGAGAGCCTGCTTAATACATGTTACATGGCCTCCTCCCATTCAGGTTCTTCCTCACTTTACATGTTTTGCTATCAATTTTGGATTCTTTTGCCTGAAACTCACTACATGTATCCTCTCACTTGGCAAAATATAATAATAATATTCATGTCAATAATGCTCATGGGGCTAATTCTGTTAGACACTTTTCCTTTGTCAGCTCACCAGAAAAGAAAAACCTTAAGCCTGCCTGTGCGCAGTGTACCAAAATAAGCTGGGGAAGCTTTTTATCACCCAGAGGTGAGTATGATTGCCTGCTAATGCAGACAGAGCACACTGTAGCAAAAGGCACAGCTAGATGTGCTGGAAGAAAGGTTGACAACTGAGCTGATAGTTGCTGCCACTCTGTGCATGCATGCTCACATGGACCTGCACCTTGCAGTCCAGTTTCCTCAGTGACTCCACGAGTCCCCAGCATATTGGAGAATTCCATCCAGCCATTCATGTTTCAGAAGGCCTCATTCTCTGAACTCAGAGAACGAGTATCCAGTGATATTTTTCTAGAAAAAGGTGCCGGAACTCACCATGAAGGCCTCCCTCATTCTCTTAGAATGGCAGTGTTGCCCATCTGACAGATGCCAGAACTGAGTTCTGGTGAGTTCTGGCTGAAAAAAGCCCTGTGTGTATCGCAAGCCAGCTTCTCCTGAGTAAGCACAGTAAAACATAGGAGACCTAAAGTGTACAGTGGAGACTCGGTTGTCAAACGTAATCCATTCTGGAAGACCATTTGACTTCCAAAACATTTGACAACCGAGGCGCAATGGGCATTTGGAGAATTCAATTGAAAAAACAGAGAAATGTGCTTTGGCCTTACTAGAAAAATTAACCAATATACTGAAACTGACATAGGGACAAATAGAAGAAGACGCCTTCACCCAGGTATGGCTCCCCTTTATCACATACACAGCCCAAGAAAACAACGACAAGAATCCACCAACAGCATACGAATCAATGCGGCTAACCTGATCCAAAACACCCACCCACTCCACTCACACATGAAAACAAAGTTCACCACAGCCAATCACAAACAAACAACCACACCCTAGGCCATGGGTAGGGAAACTAAGGCCCGGGGGCTGGATCTGGCCCAATCGCCTTCTAAATCTGGCCCGCGGACGGTCTGGGAATCAGTGTGTTTTTACATGGGTAGAATGTGTCCTTTTATTTAAAATGCATCTCTGGGTTATTTGTGGGGCATAGGAATACATTCATTTCCCCCCAAAAAATATAATCCAGCCCCGCACAAGGTCTGAGGGACAGTGGACCAGCCCCTTGCTGAAAAAGTTTGCTGACCCCTGCCCTAGGCCAACTCCAACCTCTCTCACCACCAAAGGAACACAAGCGAATAGCAAAGAGATCCTGCACAAGCGACGCTGACACAAAACTCCACACATACATTAAGTAAAATAGAAACATCGCCACCCAACCCCAACCCCACTCACCATTCCCCCCTCCACCTCTTTCCCCCTTTTCTTCCTAATGTAACATTAATGTCTCAACAAATGAAACTGATCTGTAGAAAATGTAACTTGAAAGCGACATTGCACATACGTTTGTAAACCAAGAAATCTTTAATAAAAATACATTAAAAAAGAAAAAGAAATGCACCTTGGAAACCATTCAACTTCCAAGGCGTGTTTGAAAACGGAAACAATTACTTCCGGGTTTTCAGCTTTTGAAAACTGAAACGTTCAGCTTCCGAGATGCTCGAAAACCAAGGTTCCACTCTATTTCTGTAGGAACGTATGGACAGGTTTGACCCTGCTTGCTTGTTCTGGGGCACAAGATGAAGCATTGTTTGGTTTCATTCCAGATCTCTGCTCCTGTTCATTTGTGAACCAAGAAATTATTTATTTCATGCTGTCATAATTCATATCACTAAATGTCATATTATTACAAATAGCACAGGTATGAATTCTGTCCGGTGAGAAATTCGCTGCTTATGTGTTTGGGTGGTGGCGGCAGTGTGGCTAGGGATAAAGGTAGAGATTTAACTAGCACACTATTATTACCTCAATGACATGTTGCAGAATACACCTGCAGACACCCCCACCAGCCTGGAGGGGCCCTTTCACTATCAAAAAATCGTAAAATGCAAAAATAGGAAGAGCAATTTAACAGGGGCAGACGCAAAAGAAATAAAAATAGATACAATTGGAGTGTGTGACTCTTGAGTCAATGGTTCCTTCTTGTTTCTCACACAATTTCCCCCACACCAACCTTTAAAAGCCATTAAGCTGTGCAGAAATAAAATTGGTTGCCTGTGTACTGAAACACTCAAGAAAAGAGAGGAAAGGAAACCCCCCTCTTTTTTGTGTTTCTTGGTGGGTGCGGTCTTCAGTTTCTACTTGACCTATTTACTGAAAGCCAATTATATCTGCTCAGTGTGGGTTTGTTGTGTTCTCTCTCTCTCTCTCT